ATATATGTAGTACACTTCTTTACTATGTACATATGTATACTTGGCCATTCGTATAAGATTTTTGCACGATTTACAGCTTTTAGCCTGTAATCTGGAGTAAGATTATTATAGCTGCAAAAGGTAGTTACCGTTTTCGCTCATTCATACGCGTTGTATATGCCACAGTGGATGCGGCAGCAACAAATTGTGGCACAAACAGCTGACAACAAGTGTTACTTGGCCACAGCCGCGTCCTTTGAAGTGTAACAAGTAGCAAGTGAAAAGTCAAAGAGGGTTAAGTTCACACACTCGCCGCCATGGCAGACACAAAGGCACACATGCATACATCCACTCACACACACACACACACACACATACACTCTCAAACACACAGCACGCCGACCCACATTTGAGGTTCTTTCGCTACTTAACTTTTGCCCTGAGAAACTAGGAAGTAGACGCAAATCAATTGCCTCATTCACTCGGTACTTTGTTGTTGTAAGGTCAGCCCTCGCCTCCTCCTGCTCGCCTCGACAAATTAGCATATTTCAAAGACAACAACAACAACAAAGGCCATGACTGCAATAATTGGAGTCCTTGACTGCGCCAGTTTCACTTTTGTTGTTTCAGTCGTTTTAATCCTTTGATGTTCGGCAGAAGTGGCACTCGGACGTGTGTCCTTGTATCCTTGTATCCTTGCCCCCAAGCAGCAACAATGCCACTTAATCAGTTTTCATTTTTATAAAGCCTCTTTAAGGCCTCCCACAAACAAATTGGGGTTCAGCAGGTGTCAATTGATGGCGGGGAGGGCAGGTGACATCTATGGGGGCGGGTCTGCTTTGAGCCAGCTAAATCCTTGCACATCGCATTTTGTGTTAATTAGGCCGTAAGTGCAACAGAAAAAGTCAATGGAGCATTGAATGGGCGGTGGGCAGGAGGAAGGCCAATCGGCAATTCTCGCATGCGACAATTGCACGAGGCAGTCAACTGACTGAATACATCACTTCGGCTGGCCGGCTGGCTGGCAGCCCTGCCTCAATGTGGCTGGCTGTGTGTGTCCTTTGATGTATTGTACTTTCGCCAGCCAGTCGCTGCGCAGCCACCCCAAGGACGGGCGCACATCAGTCAAGGCACGCGCATAGCGGCTACATCTTCATCACCATCAGCATCATCATCATTATCATCATTCTGGGCTTCAACATCATCACTGCAGGGATAGCAAGCAGCACGCACACTGCGAAGCACAGGACGAGGCAGGACGCTGTTTCAAGCGTTTTTGTTTCTGTTTCAATTTTTGATTTTAATTTGCATTTAGAGCCTGTCGCACTCGGCTCTCGGCTCATAGTCGTTCGGCGCGTTTCCGTGACAGGACGTCTTGTGTCCTGTGGCTTCCGTTAAATTTAATTACACACTCATAGTGCAGCAATAAAAAGCAAAATAAATAAAAATAAATTAAAATTAAAAT